ATTTGGGGAAGTACAAATGTTTCACGTTTGAAGCCACTCATGAAATTACAAAATGAAAACAATAAAGTGCATTTTTAATTTACTTTTTTTAGAATCAACTGTGAATCTATACAAACCTAAAAACTTGCTGAATCTAGTTTCATTATATAAACTCTAAATTTTTTGTTTTATTCATATTGTTTCAGGAAGGAATTGAAAATATCAAATTTGAATTTTAATGAAGTTGATACGATTCACGCCCATGAAACCAGGCAATTTAATTTATTGATAGCAAATAATTATAAGTCAAATTTTGGTTAACAATGTAATAATTTTATATAACTCCTCACCTGATGAGTTGAGAAATATAGAAGCAGAAAATTTTAAAATCAAATTAAAGAAATATAATATATAATTTGATTCCTTTTAATGTACTTGTAATTTTTTTATGAAAAACAATAATTGTGCAATTATTATTGTCTCGATTTATTATGTTATATGTATGTTTTGTTGTATAATTATGTTATATGTATGTTTTGTTGTATATATCCCTATTATAAACAATAATGTTTCTTGGGGTAATAAAGACAATCAATCAACACACTCACCATGTTGAAAAAATAAACAAGTTTCATGCACTCAAATGAAAATAAAATCACTACACCGGAGATAATTTTTAGTTTTTCACTTTTAATAAATGGAGTTCTTCTTTTTATCACTCGAATAAACCGTACGCGTTGAAATCTAATACACGAGACTGATGGTCGATTGGTTTGATTGTAATGACTAATTAGTTAGTTAGTACTCCGGTTGATTCCCAAACTAGTATGAAATAACTTATGATGTCACAAGGTACGGGTTTTATTGATGGTTAATTAAAATATTTATCAACTGTCTTACATGAAGAATATATCTTGACTGTCCACAGAATGTGGGAAAGAGAATGAAATTATAACTGAAAGGTGATTCCTAGAATATTCAGTGCACGGTTTCCCGTATTGTTTGAAGACGACACCTTTTAACAGCGTCTTGTTTCTGTCGAAGTAGATGTACACCAAAGTGGCAATGTCCTATCACAGTGATGATATAACATATGACTAATTTCGATATCGATAGGAGGTATACAGTGTGGAGTGAAAAGAACTTCAATATACATTGTCACCGTTGAATTCCGCATCATATAAAATTTGTTTTCTATTTAGTTTGTGCAAATTAAAATTTCATGAACTGTTCTTACTTTGAAAATAGTGCAAAATGAAGTTGATGATTTTTGCAAATCAATAACTGACAAATTAGATATTAATAATTAGACATTTTCTGTCAGAAAATCAAAAAGTCAAAAAATCAGTCTTTTTTGAAGTGTCCCATGAATTCATTATTAGTAGAAGGAAAATAACTATTGAAAATTCCTGATACATGTCGATCTTCGGTTTAAATTTTCATAAACTATCGTATTTTTGTTCACCTGTACAAATTTCAAGTAACTTTTGATACTTTTTTGTGATCAGCTCAGCAGAAAAATCCGAAAATCGAAAAAAAAAGGGATTTCCAATAAAAAAAGTTACTCATGAAGTCATCACACGAAGTTAGTTCACCATGTATATTAGATTATTATTTTAAAAAATGGTAAATTGAAATCAGAATTAATTTAGAAAATTTCGGTAGTACTGATAGTAGAAATCGGATTTCACTTTATTCAATTCCATGTTTAACTGTTTTATACGAAATTTTATAAGCTCTTTACAGGGTTTTCAAATATAAGTCGGCACTATTGCGAACTTGGTTATTATTGGAGCTATCAAGTCAGGTAAATGGACAAAGTAGTAGTATTTTGGCAAAAATTAAACAGGAATCTAACATAGCGTTCACGAGTTACGTAAAAAAGTTCAATGTCTTCAAATGGGACACCCAGTATACAATATTCACAATCAATAGGAAATTCGATTGCGACTTATGTATTGATTTTAAAGCAAGTGCAGTACCCTCCAGACTATTGAGATGCGATCGAAGACCTTTTGCAAATAATTTGTCCTACAGTCTTCACAAAATGGAAAATAATTTTGCACCTTGTTCTATTGATTTCTATTCAATCACTCCGTATATGAATAGAAAGAAAATAATAAAAAAATCACTCACCATATCTCAAAAGAAGAACAACAACAACAATACAAAACATCCCAGTCTTTTTATTGCTGGAAAATTCCACCAGAACTCACTCACACACACACACAAACGTTTCACTATAATCACTCAATGACACCATACATTTTGATTCCCACGTGTAAACAATATAAGTTATTTTTTCAAATCAATCAGATCGACTGCACGCGATGAAATCTAATACAATACTGCGTCGCCACCGGTATCGGATGCATGATTAACCTCCATAGTGATTCATCAGTTACGTCATCATTCTAACCGAACAATTCTCGAACAGGAATTGTATTTCTGACTTATCACATCAAAAATAATGTATACGAGGTGTGGTTTAGAAAGAAATTCAATATACAGTGTCATCGTTAAAGTCCGTATCATGAGAATATGTTTATTCACGCAAATTTGATGTTCATGAATTGTTTTGTCTCTGAAAATGATTCGAAATTTCGTCAATCTCGAAGTTTGTATGAAAAAATAACAAATAAAGTGGGTGGTTTCACAAAATTTTATATCCACTCAACAAATTTCAACAATTTCAATTTTTTTCTCAATTTTCGAGCCATTGTGATTTCTAAAAATTCGAAAAGGTCATTCAAAATGTGGAACACTCATCAGCAATAACAAATCCATTGAATATACAAATGTAACATCATTTGATGTTGCTGGTATTATACAGGGTGTCCGGAGATAAAACCGACAAAACTCATGGGGTTATAGGGACTGTCAATATGATTGCAAAATGCCATAAACGAATGTCCAAAACCGCTTCGTTACGGAGATACAGAGTGATTTGTGGATTTGGACAAAAAATGCAATCCGCCAATGGGGGAGACCACTGATTTTTTGAAATGACATTATCGTGAACTCTATAATGAAAAACTACCAGTGAATTAATTTTGAATTTTGTCATTCATGCTAAGACGGTGAAAAAAATAAATTAGAATATGTCCATTTCAAAACACACAATTCCTGTGCTATTTGAGATTTTGTCAATTCATTGGTGTGACTGGTGCGACGTGTTAGTCCCAACACGCCTATTGTCCTTGAACTGACCAATCACACTGCAACACTGCAAAATGACGAGGTATCAGAGAGAGATAGCTACAGCTCGGGACTAATACGTCACGGCTCCACCATCATATTTGGCTATTTGGAATATCGAATGAAAAATGCTGATTTCAAAACGATATAGATTCGATTCCCTTCAACTTCAACTCATAATATTGATTGTACATCAAACGTGAATCATGAGTTGTCGATTAAAAGAGGTTTGCACGGATTTCTTCTCTCAGTGGTCTTCCCCATTCAAATACAGGGATTGAACGATTAGATTCAAATTTGGTACACTGATTACACTGAGAGGCACTTACAATTAGAGTCCCTGTATGTATAATTCCCTGTATATATTTGTCAGTTTTGTTGTAATAAGAGTACGGACATTATGACAAGCAGTGACGGAAGGCATAACCCCAAATTCTCAAAATGACTTGACAAAGACATGGATATGCTTTTCCATGCACTTCGGATCTTCTATCCTCTACTGCCGCGGTGAAGGGTACATCCATATATCTTTCTCTGTCTTTATTTTCATAAAGAAGTGGCGTCTCATCTCACTGGCGAAAAGGGGTCATAGTTTGTAAATCAATTTGTTGAAAGTATTTCTCGATATACTTAAAAAAGGGTACTTGTTGGTTAGAATGGGGGAAATGGAATAAATGAAAGGACTCGCTTCCATTTTTGCAATTCTCGACTACACAATTAGACATTTTAATTTTTGAAAACCTGAATTTTCAAATAATTTAATGTCATGTACGTTCATGAACTGTCAGTGCCCGCCAAATTGTTCATGTCATTTCAAATTTTTTAGGGTTATGCCTTCTGTCACTGCTTGTCATAGTGTCCGTACTCTTATTACAGCAAAAGTGTCAAATACATACAGGGACTCCACTTACAAGTAGTCCTGTGATCGAAATCAATATCAGGACCGGAATAATATTTGTTGAGTTAATGTGGGAATAACTCACCTTGTATAATAAAAATCGAAATTTCGAACTCAGATTCGAAATCTTCGGTAAACATCGTATAGGAATTTGTTAAAGAATTTTCTGGCACTATCTCAGTTATTCCGTAATTAATCAATATTTCAATTTTTTTCATTCAAAAATCACTTATTGTCGGATAAAGGACCATCAAAATTGGTAATATAATGAATATTTACGAAACCATGACATTAATGTCCGTATATACGTCGGTGAACCAAACATCCTGTATACATTTTCAAATGTCTGCTATTCTTCAGGGAAAATATAGGTAAGTTCAAAACTAATTGTCAGTACCATTCATATTCGACCAGAAAGAGAAATTTCTTGTGTATTCCATCACATACGACAGCTAAATTTGAAACAAGTCCTAGTTATTGTGGAATCATGTTCTTCAACCGTCTCCCCGAAAACATCCAATGCCTCTATGGACATTCATTCAAACAACACATCAAATCACTATCAGTATCCAAATGCTACTACCGCATAGATGCATTTATGTCATATAGAGATTTCAGAATCTAACCTGTTTTGTTTTCATATATACGTTTGTAACCTGTGTGACCACTGTTTTTTACACATTTACTTGAGATCTATGCTCATACATATACTTATTAGTACCACCCTGACTTGTCCTATACATATAAATGTCTGAAAGGATTAATAAATTATTTAATTATTTATTTATTTATTTATTATTTATTTGAACGGATTTCATCCCTCAGTGGTTTTCCCCGTTAAAAGATCGTCCTGAAAACTCTACAAAAGTCCATCTTGAGAACAGCATTTGACAGTTTGATATTTCAAACATCTATCGTTTTTTAGAGATTGGAATCTCAAATAACTGAAATCAAGAAAAGCATTGAACGCTCCAACGAGACGATTTCCATCCAAGAAGCAGAAGTCGACGACGAATTGAATCGATTGCATAAAGCTCTAGAAAAGGCGACAAACAGAAAAGAGAATATCACAGTAAAAGTTGAAACCTTGAAGGAAGCTATCAAAATCCAACCTTGCACCCACAAAGAAAAAGTTGAATTGTTGAGGAAAATCGAAAATTTGCAAAACAAAATTGAGATCATTAAAGGGAAAATCAATCATGCACAGAATATCAGAAATGAGTTTGATCAGAAGCTCCATAATGAATTAACTAAGGTAAGGAAATGTGTTGAAAAAGCTAACCCCTTTCATAAACCCACAGTGTATTACATCATGAATTTAATTTGATTAAGTTAGACCACACTAATTATTACACGTTCCAAATTTAGCAAATAGTAATTTAAGTATCAAGGGCGTAAAGTAGGCGTTTAAGGCCTTAAGGCGTGAAGGCTGACACACAATTGACACACTTTCTCAATACGTCTTAATACAGTAAGAGGCACAACAATCTTGAAGAACTTCGTGCAACAACAGAGGCAGTTTCCAGAAATTACAAAGACATCCTTTAATGATTTTGAATGCATGAGACGTATTGAGAAAGTGTGTGAGGGAAAATGAACAATTCAATCAATAAGTTACTGAATAATTTCCTAATTCAATGGCGGCTCGGTGGTCGAGAGCGTGAAGGCGCTCAGTTCGTATTGGGACTCCCACCGAACATAGGTTCGAATCCTTGTTATGCCATGGATGTTCGTGTTTGTATGCTTACCTAACCCCGCACAAGTTTCGATTTATGGGGCGTTTGGTTCCAGTGCTGGGGCCAACGAGGTAATGCAATTGCAAAAAAAATTGTCTTAGTAAATATTTGATCAGGTGCTTATTCTAAATTATGAACTTTTTATTACTATTTATTTGTTGCTATCAGGCAACACAAAGTTTTGTGTTTGGTTAGTTGATTAGTGTTGGTATTGTTTTTGTCCTCTTTATGGAAAATCAAAGGAAATATTCATTCAAGTGGAACTTTGTGTATATGAAAAATCCATCCAATCCGTTTAAAATTCAATGTTTTAGTGATTTTGGAGCACTTTTGAAGTTTTTATATGTATTGGTATTGGTATTGGTAGGTTGGATGGTGACAGATGCGCTGCAACCTAATTAGATCTATTGTGCCCCATCTGCTTCTGCTATATCAAGGATTTCTTGTTCACAGCTGCCCCTCGAGATTCAATTCCTTAAGGAATTTGAAGATTTTGAGGGGGTCTAGCTGTGGTATTTCTTCCACAGTCAGCTGGTGTGTTCCCAGTATGTTCAATCTTTTGTGAGGTACAGCGTCACACCCCATCATTATGTGATGGGGTGTTTCTGGTTCTTCCTCACAGAATCTGCAGGTGCCGTCCTCCTGTAAACCTAGCTTCCTTAGGTGTTCTTTGAGTCTGCAATGCCCCGTTAGAAATTCCGTTATTGCTTTGAGACTTCCTTTGCTGAGGTTTGTCAGTGTCTTAGATCTTTCTCGGTTATGTATACATTATATAACATTTCGAAGGAAAAAAATAAGGAATTCAATGAGCTGATAAAATACAGGGTGTTCTATGAAAAAAATTATTAGTTATTATGAGTTTCACAAAAAAGTGGCACAGGACCACAAAAACCTCAAGGTTCTATCTCCAGAGATAACTGAGATTATAACGCAACAAGTTTTCCATTTTTATATTGAAAACTGGAATAGAATCGTTCCTGAAACTTCCAAAGATTAGTTTCTTTTTTTTCATAATAAGGTGTCACTGTCAATCGATTGAATTTCGTTTTCAGCTTTCTTATAGTAAAATTATGAACGATTCTACAGATGAAATTTTTTTTAGAAAAAATACAGGTCCGTGTTTGAAAAAATAATGTTTAGAGTGGTCTCAAACTAGTTTTTTATCAAGTAAAATAACAAATTATTAGAAGACTAGTCCTGGATTTTTTTTTCAATTCGTTTACCATCTACTCTTGAGCCAGATTTCATTATGAGCCCACATGTTCTATATACAATACAGGGTGTTGAAGGTGAAATTTGATAAGATATAATTTGATGCAGGCCCTTAACAGTCACAAATCAAAAAAAAACTGAAAACTGTTGATAATTATTCATCCATAATATGAGAGGAGCTCAGTGCAGTACCCATCTCATTTCCCTATGGAGTACCTGGGTGACTGAAAACTTCAGAGTGGTCCCGAACTAGTTTCTTATTAAGTAAAATAAAAAATTATTAGAAGACCAGTCCTGGATTTTTTTTTCAATTCGTTCACAGTTTTCTCTTGAGCCAGGTTTCATTTTGAACCTCCATGTTCTATATACATACAATACAGAGTGTCAAAGGTGAAATTTAATAAGATATAATTTGAGATGCAGTCCCTCAACAATGATACAAATTAAAAAAAAATTGAAAACGGTTGATAATTATTAATCCATAATATGAAGTGGAGCTCAGAGCAATACCCATCTCATTTTCCTATTGACTGGGTGACTCAAATCTAATTAAATTTCAATACTTGACCATACGGGCCCGAAATGAATGACGAGAATTAACAAAATCAGATTTCTTACAGTTGCAAAACAAGGTAGTGGACTGGAATAGATCTCTTGTGGAAGTCTCTATCAGAAAACCGAATCTCAAAAAGCTGATGCTGAGGGAAACTGGCTTTCACATGTTCGAATTCTTAAATGAAATCAAGGAGATGGTAGAGCAAAAAATAATGATAGAGAATGAAGTTGTCGAGAACATAGGTAAGATGGAGGTGGAATTGAAGGAGGCCTGCACAAAAAAGAAGAGCTTGGAAGTAGAAATCAGTAATTTGGAAAGTCAGTTGGATCAGCTCAATAAAGATATCCGAGAAAAGACTGAAAATAAAAATATTGTGGATGAGGAAATTGAAAAGGTGAGCGCTTCGATAGAAACGACCGCAAATTTCTAAAAATAGTATATTGTTTAACGAGCACGGAATGATAGTCAATTTGCAGTCTACGGCTCATGCTGCGAGTTATACACTATACTTTTTCTACGGTTCTAACAGATAATAGCAATTTTTTTGATTTCTCGTCTTGTAGTCATCTGATTTTCTCTTAAGTAATGCTCATCTATTAGACAGAGTTGTCATTGCTGGAAATTTGACATCCCATGGGAAATGCGATTTTGTAAAATAATAACACATTGTGATATTGAATACGGAAATAAAATTGATGACATAGAAAGAAAGTACCTCACTAATTTATCGAACACAGTAAAACAAGATAAATTTTGTGTTATAGTCCTAGACAAAAATAATTCCAGATAATTTGTTGCTGTTCTATATGGGATATAGATAAAGAAATTTCAAGCACAGATTTTAGGAAGAGAAATAGTAAAAAAAGTTTATTAAACATGGGTCCAGAAATGCCCCCTGGGGCGTTATAGTAGTCTGTGATGAAATAACAGAATTTTGTACATGTATCTATAACTTTTTATGCCCGATTTGAAAATGTTGATAATTTTCCGAAATTTTGATTAGTGTCGTGGAAAATAGGTGGGGCTAGTAGCACTTTTTTTTCACAACTTCTTTGTATAATATGCCATTTTCAGCAGTTTGACCAGGTAATATGAAAATCCTAACATTTTTGTATGAAAATGGTGCTCTTGTTTAGTTTTGAGAGCATTTTTCGAGAAAAGTAAATTTTATAATTCTGCTGCATAATAAAATTAGTGCTTTTTCCTTAATAGGTTATCGAATTTTCCCAAAAATTATGGTTTGATGGAAAAAACCCCTTCTTTTAACATCTACTTCCGATGTTTGATTTAAAATAGAAATAATGAATTCAAAAATAATATGGTAGGTACCTACCCTTTTGAGATATGATAGTTACCTACCCTTTTAGGAATAAGTATATTTTTATTACATAGCTGACTTGAAATCGATTCATCTCGAAATCAAACAAGAGTACCATTTTTATGTGAAAATTGCCAGAAATTGCATGAACAAAGAATTAGGGAAAAACTACCCCTAGTCCCACCTATTTTCCACATCCCTGATCAAAATTTCGGAAAATTCTCATTATTTTCAAATTGGTCTGGCAGAATAGTTCGGGCATGCTTTCTTTTGGTGAAAAAAAAAAAAACAGGATGCACATTTTGGGGTATGTGCAGATCGGTCAATTACTCAGCTATTTTGCTATATTGAGGATTATTTATTGATAAAATTTGACCGATTTGGGCTATATTCCGAATTCAACTGACAGTACTGAATCTGCTGAATTTTCATTCCGAAATCAAAAAAATTGACTGAAAGTGACAGATACTCGTGAGCAGATATACTATTCATTCCAAATATTTCGACTCAACATTCTGCTGAAATTGCTGACTATCAAAAGGTAGTGTGGCTTCAGTGAACTGTCATTATTTTTGAGGGGAAAGGAATGACACATTCATTTCTGTTGTTTTTCAGACTATTAAGTCTTGGCTTATCAATAATACATTAATAATATCATTTTGATATCAGAAAATGCCTGTTATTTATTTAGCTCAAGCAGGAGCATCCGCCAGATCAATGACAGCTGACAAATTTCACCAGCTGGTCAACTGCTGCTGATTACTGATGAAAACGTGTTCCGAATTACAGCGCTGTATTTTTGATTTTATATTTCGGAACACAGCTTTTCAGCAGAGTCAATGGATCTACTGACAGTACTGACCAGTTGAATTCGGAATATAGCCTTGGGGTGGCAGAAACTTGACATTCGAAACTTATAGTGATTATAGTGATTGTCTACCCCGGTCGTTTTTTCCTGACATCAGCTGCCCTACTATTAGGTAAATGTACAGAATTTGGTAACTTTATCACTGAGGGTTTTGAAAATATTCACATAAAACCACCCAGGGGGCCATTTCTAATATGATGTTTTTCCACTACTAGATATAAAACCTACTATTCACTCCTTTCCGAGGCGTAAAGTGTATTTTCACTACCAAGGTAGTTTTCATCATTTTATATTTTAAATATCAATTCTTTCTCGGTTTATTCAACAGAAAACAACTACTTTCCTGGCCATATGCCACGACGAACATTGAATTATATCTATTGAACACATGATAAGAATTTGAAAACAAAATCTTCTGACGTAGAGAATTTGCATTCTCCTTCATATACAGTTATGTATATGCACATAATTCGCGATAGAAAATAACAGGTCGCCCCACCTGACGGCAGCAACTTGAACACTTCTGAGCGGTTTGTTTTGATGATATGACCAATAATCGCAAACAAAAAACAAATGCCAACCAATGAAAACAAAGTAAACATGCCGCTTTGACAGCTTTCAAGAACTCCGATAGGTGGCGTACGCTTATTTGCTATCGCGAATATCATTCTGAATATTCATGAATATTCAACAGAAAACAACTACTTTCCTGACCATTTGCCACGTCGAACATTGAATTATATCTGTTGAACTCCCAAAAAGAGATCATGAAAAATGAAAATAATCTGAAATTGAGAATAGACATTATCTCCCAAATCGGATAAAATAAATATGATATATTATGATATAAAAGTATATAGTTTGAGTATTTTTAAATAGATGTTATTGAGAAGACTGAGCAATTCAATCATCAGCTTATTCCCTCCATTATTAGGTACAAATTGAATGGGAACAAGAGGAGAAGACCTACATGCAGGAAATTAACGATCCACAAATGGTTGAATTCATTGAATTGAAGACTGCCGAAATGTTGAAATTGAAATCGGAACTGAAGTCTCTGAAAAAAGAAAGTGTTGAACTGGGAGAGAAAATCTTGTGCTTCTTCACTGATTTAAATAGACAAGTTGGGGAGAATATCCTGGAAATGAGGAATATTATGAAAAATTTGGAGGCTAGATTAGTACAGAAAGCAAGGCAAGCCTTAGATGAACAAAAAAATGATATACAGACGTTGCAGCGTCTAGGTGATTTGAAATAGTTATACTATTTAATTTTCCCTTTTCTTGTCGCTCAGTAAGTGTTTGGTAATCATATTTATATTTGTTAAATATTATATAGTATTTTTCATCCAGGTTTTGTTTATCTTGAAAGCCTAACAATGTTGAATCACACTTTCTTCGGATTCTTGACCTGATGATTCATTCTTATGTTTTCTTTCACTTGGAACCGATTTAATTGTGTTTGTATAACGCTACCACCGACTTATTAATTCATCTAGACTGTTAGTAGTCATATCGCTGCAACCCGAAAATGTAGGATCAGTTGCTCGCCTGAAAACGCTTCTGCTCAATACGCAGCAACCTACCAAACGTGGTATCGAATTGCTCAAAATCAACCTAGCATCCATTTTGTTCATAGGTGGCGGCAAGGTGGGTGGCGTCGGCTCAAGTGTTTTGTTTATGTCATCAGGGATCGGCTTGATGAAAATAATATCCACATTGAGTGGTGATATTCATTTTTTCTTTCTATTTTTTGTCAATCCTAGGAAATATGGAGTGCTTTGTTCTTTGGTTCAAGAATTCCTCTATTGATAATACTAAAGATGTTTCTTTTCATCAGTGAGTTTGTGGGCAATGAATGTGAAGAATTTGAGTTCAGACGTGAGGTTCATCTATTTTATACGATTTTGAATTAAAATTTTACTCATTCAATAATGATTCTGGAATTCCTAAGATTAAGATAATTGAATGGTGTGAGGCTATTAGGAGACCATTGGACCTTAGCCATTCAGGAAGGATAATTATTTTTGGATGTATGATAAATTGATATTCATCAATCTTCTAGGAAAACTTTGAATAGTTAGTAACTTGGGCGTCCTGATTCCGAATCCGACGTGATTTTCAACCTATTTTGACTCCTAATATCATTTTCCGGAAATTGGGGTGGTTTCATGGCTGTTGGCGAGCAGTTTATATCACTGAAGATGACCCCACTTGGTCATAGAGTGCATTTTTGGTATATCTCTCGCTCCAGCAAATTTCAGGATCCTTACCCAACGATTACGTAAGATACAGGGGTGGTTCCATTAGAAGTGGGTCACACTGTATATTAATTTTTTTGTGTTCATAAATATATCTGAGAATTTTCCTTTTCAAGGATAAGTAATTATGTTCAGACCATTTTACGCCAGCAGACAGCTTTCTGATGCTTCCAGACAAATAAATTATAAAAATAGGGCATATTTCATTCGATTCTCACTACTTTATGTATGGTATTCTTCTATAGTAGACCCCTGCTCCCAACCGTTTTTTCCTTACGCCTATACAGTCTGTCCAAGATAAGGTTGAACAGCATGGGGATCTCGAAAACGGTAAGAGATACGAAATCGGTTAAATGGGGAAAAAGTTGCGCATTCGGAGGCTCATATCAAGAGCCTTCGAAAATTTTGAAAATTATTTTTAGTTTTTGAGTTATATCGAAAAAAGTGAATTTTTGGAATTTCTATTTTTTTTTTCTCCGTTATTATTAGAGATACAGCAAAACTGAGAATACTTTTTCATAGCAACTTTTGATGACGGTCAACGTGGTGATACCGATTTTTTCATGCGACGTTTCGTATTCGTGGAACCATCATCAACTTTTGTTTTTTAAATACGGTCCTGATAATTTTTTCACAGATTCTAAAAGGTTTTTTTATTCCGAATTCAACAATGTACTATACAAGGTGATTCGAATGTGTTTCAACCTATTTCTATCCATCATCAATGTTTTTTCGAACTTCCAAAAGAAAAAAAGCCATCAGTTCCACTTATTTTGAAGGAAAATTAGTCAACACACTAATACCTCATCAACTGGTTTCAATCAACAACCCATTTCATTTTGCAGAAACAAAAATTCCATCCATACAAATTCAGAATATGTCAAGCGCTAAAACCAGGCGATGACGAAAGGCGCAAGACATTCTGTGAGTGGTATACCAGGAAATGTTAAAATTTTGCAGATTTCTTTCGAACAATCATCTGGACTGATGAAAGCATGGTCACTAATCATGGTAGCTTCGATAGAAAAAATACACATTATTGTTCACGAGAAAATGAACATTTATTATACATTACAGCGAGACACCAACACCGTTTCGGCTTTAATATGTGGGTTGCAATATTTGGTACACGAATTATTGTTTCTTCTATTTACCATGAAACACAGACTTCGGAACGTTATAGAAATTCGCTTGAGAATCATCTTGAGGAAGCTCTGGATGATTTACCGATTGTGGAAGTTCAGAACTCTGTTGGTTTCAACAAGATGGCGCACCGGTACATAATTCCAGAGAAGTCCGTGCGTTTTTATCCCTTGGCCGGCGCGGTCGCCTGATTTGACACAGCTGGATTTTTTCTTAGGGGATATATATTAGTACACGCAAATAACTTTGAGGATGAAGAAGAACTAAGGGACAGTGTCTTCGAAGCATTCAATAGAATAACCCCAGAAATGCTTAGCAATGTCTTAGAAACAACTGTGAGAAGAGGATATCTTTGTTCAGAAAATAATGGTTATCATTTTGAACATTTGTTATGAATGTCTCTGTAGGTATTGTCAAAGTTAAGTTGTTAAAGTAATTCGTGTAAGAATTCATCAACAATTTTAAACGCTGATGCATTGATCGAATGATGTAGTGAAATAATTTTTATTCACTTTTCAGTATTGAATAACTAATCCATCAAGTTTGACACTAAATGGTAAGAAATAAGTGGAACTGATGTCTTTTTTTCTTTTGGAAGTTCGAAAAAACATTGATGATGGATAGAAATAGGTCGAAACACATTCGAATCACCTTGTATAGTACATTGTTGAATTCAGAATAAAAAATCCTTTCAGAATCTGTGAAAAAATTATCAGGACCGTATTTAAAAAACAAAAGTTGATGATGGTTCCACGAATACGAAACGTCGCATAACAAAATCGGTATCACCCGTTAAACCTCATCAAAAGTTGCAATGAAAAAGTATTTTCAGTTTTTCTGTATCTCTGATAATAACGGAGAAAAAAAATAGAATAGAAATTCCAAAAATTCACTTTTTTCGATATAACTCGAAAACTAAAAATAATTTTTAAAATTTTCGAAGGCTCTTGATATGAGCCTCTGAATGCGCAACTTTTTCCCCATTTAAGCGACTTCGTATCTCCTACCGTTTCCGAGATCCCCATGCTGTTCAACCTTATCTTGGACAGACTGTATTCCTCAGATTCATGAGTGTAACATGGCATATCCTAAATGCGCATGAATCAGTTTCACCAGTTCGATCTTCTGAGTTGCAACATTCTCCTTATAGAATGGGCGTGTACACCTTAGTTGAACTTTTAACTCAAACCATGTTTATAATGATCCTTTTATACATAAATAATGATTCACGACATAATTCGATCTAAAAATTAACTGGAATGTTTTATTTCTGGACATAAATAATAGTACCTTCTGAAAACGGACCCTCTTATGACGTAGAAACCTCATCTCGCCATAGTTAAAACTGACACTTATCACTGTTGCCATATCATCCAAACAAAATATCCGAGAGATCGAAATCGATATTGAAATATTTTTTGATATCCACTAAACAATAATCCAATATATTATTTCATAAACGCAGCAACATTGCTTTGTTGAGCCGTTTTACATGGAGCTGCAAAAAGTTAATATATAGGTTATTATCATTGTCCCAAAAATCAACTTGCCGATTCACCAATATTGGTGCTTTGTCAGAAATCATGTATCATTCATCTCTGTCTGGAATAGTCTTGTTTCAGTATTAGGGTTTTGACGTCACATCATCGCATCGTTTTCAGAGGTCCGAAAAATCGGGGAATTCAATAATTTTTTATAAAACGTAGGGAGCTCACAGCAAGAAACGGTTTGCGGTGGTGAGCTAGTTTGGATGAATTCTATCGAATTATGAAATAATTTTTTTTTGTGATATAAGCCCATCGGCGGTCTAGATTAGTCTATAAGTCGAGGAACGCTACTTCGAAGTTGTGAACCAACTCCCCAGAAGTTGAAACAACTTATAATGGAATCATTGGAATCCGTACCACTTCTATAGGGCATCGAGGTGCTGCCAGGATTACAATCATGAATCACACATTTTTAGGAAAAATGTTCAGCCAAAATCTAATAGTGAGTTGAAAATTCAACGAAACTAGGAATCAAAGAACGTCGCTCCACCTGACGGCAATAGCTTGAACAAATGGGTACAACAATGAATCCACCATATACACTGTGACCCGCTTAAGACCGTAGCACCCTCATAAAATCTATAGTTTTTGAACGATTTCTTTTTTTTTTTCGTTTCAGCAGAAGGACGAAGATCTACGTTTACACAAATCAGAAAAATTAAATTACAATCTACAGGGCATACTATATTATTTTTTTCATGTTAAAAATTGCAAAATATCATTAGCGGTTTTTTTCAAAAAAAAATCTACCCCACCACTGAATTCAGCATCCTTCAATCAGGTCAAGCGCAAAATTTCATTGAAATATTTAATTGTCAACAAAGTTATATCAACATTAATTTTGATTGTTCACCATTTTTTATGAATATTTCAGACAGATTCTGAAAAGCGGCAACATTGTCAACATAAATATTGGAAATCATTGAGTTTCTGGTATACATTTGAATTGATAACACAAATTATTATCGAGTTCTAATCTCTAGAATGGTACCCTTTTGGAATAAAGTAATGAAGTCGGAGAAACAGCTTTTCATAATAAGTTAATTATCAATGTATACCAACAATTTCTAAAAGCTCTTGATGTTTTTTGCTTCTGATATCATCTTACTATACAGACTATCCGATTTTCTAACTCTAATAACTTGAATGAACATGGCCGATTTTTCGACGTTATGGATTTTTCATTTTATGAATCTTTCCATGAATACCAAGATCAATTTGATTTTAGATGTTATAACTCGATGATAATTTGTGTTATCAATTCAAATGTATGCCAGAAACCTTGATAATTTCCAACATTTGTGTTGACAATGTTGCCGCTTCTCAGAATTTGTCTGAAATATTCATAAAAAATGGTTAGCAATAAAAATTAATGTTGTTATAACTTTGTTGCCAATTAA